GGGGGGGGGGGGGGGGGGGGGCGAGAAGGGGGGGGCGGTGAAGTTGGGGCGGGGGCGGCGCGGGGCCGCGGGTGCCGGCGGGGCGCGGCGGCGCTAACAAAGGGGCAGCGGCGGGGGAGGCGCGGGGCAGCGGCGCGGGCGCGGAGCGGCACTTACCACGTGACGGGCGGCGGGCGCGGGCCGACCCCGCGCAAAATGGGCGCAGTTTGCAAACCGGCAGCGGCGGCAACGAAGGGGGGGGCGGTGCGGTGCCGCAGCCGCCGCGGGCACCGCCGGCCCCGGCGCCCCCCCCGCCCACCCGTTCGGGTCCGCCCCGGCGGCGGCGGCGGGGGGATGGGCTCGGCCCGCTCCCTCGGTGCGGGCGCAGAGCGGCGGCCGCGCTCCGCGCTGGGAACCGGCGGTGCCGCGGGGTGTGGGGGGGTGGGGGGGGACACGCGACACGGCCCCCCCACCCCCGGCTCGGGGCGCGCCGGGCCGGCTGCGGGGCGGACCCGGCGCCGAGCGGTGCGGGCGCTGCGGTGCTTTCCTTCCTTTCCCCCCCCGCTCCGGGAGAGCGCGGCGGCGGCGGTGCGGCTTCGGAAAATGGCGGCCGGGCGCTTTCTCTGCCCTCCCCCTCCCTTCAACCGGAGAATGCACGGAGGGAGGGAGGGAGCGGGGGGGGGTGGGGGGGGAGGAGGCAGCGCGCACCGCAGCGCCCCCCGCGGTCACAGCGCGCACTGCGCCGCCCGCGCGCCCGCAGCCAGGGGGCCCCGCCGAGCCGCCGCCGCGCGCTGCAGTGCGGGAGGGGGCGCTGCAGTGCGGGAGGGGGCGGGGCGCGGCGCCCATTGTCCGCCCGCCGCGGGGCGGCCGCCGCTCGGCGCGCTCCGCCAGCCGGCAGGGGGCGCTCGGCACGCGGCGTCCGCTGGGTGGAGCGCGCAGGCGCAAAGCGGGACCGCGGGGGCCGACGGGAAACGTAGGCCGCGCTGCGGGCACGAAACCGCAGAGCGAACGATTCTAACGCAAACGCAACCGAGCAGCTGCGGGCGCTCGGAACGCGGCCTTCGCCTCTGTGCCCCGCAGGGAACGCAGCCCTGCCGGAGGTGCTGCTCGGCAGAGCTTAAGGCACAGCTCAGAGCTGGGCGTCCAACTGCAGGCGGTGCTTTAACACAGCCGGTAGCGGCCTGGGCTGCAGCCAGGTTTAAGCTGCGCATTTTGCCTCTAATTCCAGCACCAAGCAGTGCGAGGAGCAGCCAAACGCTGCTTCACAAAGCCTCAAAGCTCAGCACGCAGCAAGGAGAACAGCCCGGCTCGGGACAGTGGAGAGCTGTGCTGGTTTGTGTGCCTCAAACAGCCAGGTCTGCCCTCACTGCCCTCCCCTCCCGTCCTCCCTCTCAGCAATCCCACACAGGACCTCGAGAAATTCCTCCGGATGCCTTGTTTGAGTCTCCAGGTGAAAAAGGAGACGGCGCTAGGAAGGAGCCAGCACAGCGTGTTACCCCACAGCCACCCCAGGACCAGCACACAGTGTCTCCATCCTTACACCCTACAGAAGAATCATTTCTGAAGAGCTGCCACCTGGTGAGCTCTGCAGTTTCAGTTTCACCTCACCACGTGTGGGCAGCTCTAAAGGGCATCAGGATACCAGACCTTACAAGGGCACTGAATGCCTTTGTTTTTTTAAGTCTATCTAGAATTCAGGAAAGTAAGCAGCACGTGCATCCATGTATTAGAAGAGGGAGGGAAAGGCTTTGGCAATAAGATAAAGAAGTTGTCAAAAATATTCCTGTGCAATAAAGTTTCTCCTCTTTCACTCAAGCTGCATTGCAGAATTCTGCTAACCAAGGAAAGCCTGACCAGGAGCAGAGATCTCCAGCCTGACAGTCTGGATTTCCTCACAGAACGGACAGCTTTCATCAGCCAGCGTGATCTGGCTGGAGATGACGTAGCAAAAATTTCTGTGCAGCAATACAACTTTGGCCCCTGCCACACATCTTTTTATAGCCCTTCCAGTTTTCATTTTCCATTCAAAAACAGTGCTGCATTGTTTCCCCCAGCTCACCCAGCCATCCCCAATGGGCTCAGCACAGACCTGCACCCCACACGGTGTCCCAGCTGGCAGGCAGCCCCAACCCTGCTCCAAAAGTCCCTCAAACTGTGCCATTGCTACCTCTGGAGACCTCAGTGTTTTACAGCATTGACTGTAAGCCTCTCTGCAGACCCCCTCTCCTCCAAAGCACCACAGTGCACAGGAGCCATAAAGCTCTACATGCTGCTGCAAACTTATACCTGGTTGTTGCTTTCTTTTCCCCACGCTCATTGCTTCTACCTATTAACCCTCACCATTCCTTGAATTCCTAAGGCAGGTACAATCTCTCAGCTTCACATACTTGCTGTTAACACACAACTGCCTATACACAACACCACATCCACTATCAAATATGCCAGAGCACATAAAGGGAGACCTCTGAGCACACAAAGACTTGAGACCAGTTTGGTAAACATCATGAAAGCAGTGGCAACCAAGAGATACAGCAACAAGAGCCCCCTGCTGATACTGCTGCTGGATACAGCTGCATTTCTTCCACATCCTGGTTCAGAGCTTCACCAGATGCTGTAACAAAAAGCAGTAATCACACACATCAGTGGCCACTGCGGCTTCAGAAGATACAAGACTCATCTGTACTCTCATCTATATTTAGCTTTAAACCAGACAAGCTGCGACAACAAGAGACCTTTGCCGTGTTCACTGCTCTTCTAATAGCCCTCTTTAGCATTAGGGAAAGTGTCCAGTCATGGTAACAAAGGCACTGCTCAGCTGTGACAGTCAGAACTTCCCAGCTGGTGATTATTCTGGAAATGCTTGCCAGAAAGGGCAGAAAAAAGAGCAAAGCCCTTAAAGGGAGCCACACGCAGGTAATTAGCACCGAGGCTGGAAGAGCTCAGGGACCTTCCTGTCCCACTAACAGCTCCTGAGCTACACAACCTGCATTTTCTTTGTCACAGGTCAACGGCTGTTTTAACTTGCCTGAAACAAGCAGGCCGTGAACGTGCTGCTCGCTAGAAGAGCTGACTGATCCGTGTCAGAAGTAACATTACTTGTTTGAAAACCACATTAACGACTGCAGTTGAGTCACTTGATGCAGACGCTCATAATTGCAGGGACGACGTGCGTTGTTTGCTCTCACACTGGAGTCTCCTCCATAGTCATCCTCCACCTCTCGAGGTCACACTTCTACTGCTGCTCGTGCTGGGGGAGAACTGATTTATTCTGTTATGGAAGTGAGGGACACGTACTGCTACTGACACAATAATATGGCGTTCTGAATCAATCACCGTTGCAACTGCACTTGTATGGTTTGTGCAAATGTATTTATATGGTTTCCATGGGGATGGGAGCTGGGAATGCAGGACTACGTAGTGAAGGTACCTAACTTCACCATTAAGCCCCTGACAAAGACCTTGGTTTCATCCTACTAAAAGCTGCTCACATACTCCACACTGTTGCACCAGCCCCACGCGTGCTGCACAGAAAAACCTAACATAAAGCCCTCATGAGAAGCTCTATTTTTACCCACCTAAGGAACACAGTGAAGTACTTTCCAAAGATGAACAGCACACTGAGTACTCCCAAAAGAGAGCCCCAAATTTCAGTTGTTAGTCCAGCTGGGGAGCAGATAGCCAGGTTTCATCAGCTCGCAGATGGCAAAGCATCCACTTACATCTTTGGTTGTAACCCCTCATCACTTACATCCCCATTACGTTGCCAACAATATTATCATGCTGCCTCAGATTCACTCAAAAGACAAATGTAAAACTGCACAAAAGTCAGCCTCAGGTCTCATCACTTTGCTTGGGTATCTGCTTAGGAAACACTACGATGGCAGAAATTAAGGCCATGAGGGGCTGGAAGGAACCTCCAGAGATCAGCAGGTCCAACCCTCCTGCTAAAACAGATTCCAAGTTATGGGAATCACAACGCTTTGTGCAGTGTACAATATACTACCCCAGAGACTGAATTACATCATTATGTTATTTATCTGTCAGTAAGGTGACAGTGTGCTTTACAGAAGTTGCTGCCCTTCCATTATGAATGTTTTATATCATGGGAAAGGAAAAGGAAATAAAAAAGGGGCAGGTAAATGTGATCTTGCATCGATGACGAGGAGCCCACATCTCACAAAGCCAGGAGACACAGGGTGAGTGAGTTCTGGGGGCAGTGCTTGCAAATCTCAATACTCACATTTGTGTTCCTACCGAGGAGTGACATCATCCAGCACCACTGGGCTACAGACAAATAGATCTGGGAGTTTTCATGTAAGAAAATAAATCAGAAGTAGCAGCAAGGGTGACTTTTGAACCCCAGCAATTCCCAGCAAGCACGGTGTGTGCTGCACGGAGGACAGGAGGAACCAGCTCTGTGCCTGCAGTGCAGCTCAGCTCCTCTTCCTTCCACTTGCAAGTTCTTAATGTACGTCCCTTTACCCTGAGCAAGGAAACCCCCAAGCCACACTGAAGGCTCACAGAATGCCTCCATGGAATTGTCTTGCACCAACACTGCACTCCCAAGCCTTCCTGCAGCCACCAACGCTGCTGGACACTCCACCAGAAAGCTCTCCCTCTGCCACAAGCAAGATTTACACCAGTCTGAAGCACCCATTTGCAATTCATGCTACAGCCCTTTTTTATTCCATGCTAACTTTCCCAGTTTGCCCAACAGCAGAATTGATTTCTGTTTCTATCGCTGTTTAGATTTGCAGACCTGGGGGAAAGCATTCCCTGCTCCTGGTAGCTGCTTATGATTCAGTTTAATCCCCAACTGTTGCAGCAGTTTTACCAGACTGAAGCACAGCCAATAACCTCCATCTTCGATTATTTACTCCTTTGCTCATGCTCAGGCCTCACTAAGCTGTGCCCTGAGCACTTCTGCCCCACAGATAACAGCCAAGTCTTTCAGCCCTGGGTCTCAGTGCTTCGCAAGCCTGTGCCAAACCCACCTGCCTCTAAACCCTCAGCCGTGCAGGGAAACGTCAGATATCACCAGTGGGAAGAGCCAAACCCCTACACACCCTCCTTATGGAGGATATTTCCCATAGCAAGGCTCAGACAGCTGCTGGGGAAAGGCAGCGAGGGGAACACAGCAGGGCCTGGTTTGCAGCTCTCCTCCCACCGCTGCGAGAGCTGAAGGAACAAGCAGACACAGCACAGAGCTGCTCCTCTGCCCCCACAAACCCTCCCTCCCCTCCGAGGAGCTGCAGGTAAAGAGCTGCGTGAAAACTTACAGCCTACAACGGAGCTGCTTTCTTCTATGATGAAAAAGACCTGCAGACTACAACAGCAGGATTAGGTGCCAGAGTTTGAGCACGCACCAGGAGCACAGGACACAGAAGTGTTTAAACACTCACTGGTCAAAGGCTCAACGCTGCTGGCACAGGAACAGAAAGCACTCGTGCGTTCAAAGCAATGAAGGTCCAACCAGATCCTCTGCAGTGCCTCCAAGCAGAAGTGCCCACATCACAGACCCTCCCTGGGATTCCTCCAGCTCCTCTGGCACTGCACTCACCGTCCTGCACAACATTCCCCACCTGCACTGCTGGGGGAAGCAGCTCACAATGGGAACCTCACTGCTCTGCTACACAGACCTGTGCTGCTTCCAGCTGTTGCTGCCCCTCACCCACAACACACACAGCAGCATCCTGAAGCCACAGAACAGCCCACGCAGCCATCCAACTCCATGCAGCCACGTGCTGAGCCCTGCTTGGCCAGCAGCTCACTGTGCAGCGTGCTGGAAGTGAGGACTGATCCCAGAGGAGCCCTTTGCTGGCTTCCTATGAACAGGAACCATAGGAACGTAAACTTGTGAGAAGTTCAGCAACAGCCTCTGAAACCTGGAGCTTCCAGGCTTCTTTTTTTCAAAGCCCACACAACAACCCAGAGTTATTTTATACACACACACACACACTAAGAGCCTTCAGTGCTGTGTTGTCAATGGGAGATCAGGTACCACAGCAGATTTGTCTAATATCAATGTGAAAGAACTGAGTAACTGCTTCTGGTTCATCCGTGGCAAAAGAATTTCTCTAAATTCAGCCCTTCATCATCAGCCTGAAGTCAGGCTGCTTTGGCTTGCAGGTTTATGGTGCAAGGAAGGCATCCTTCCCTCCAGCACTCCCCTTTAGGTTTTACTCAGATTCACAGTACTTGAGTGCCTGGGACGCAGCTCTTACCCTGTAACAACACCAATGAGGTCACTGGTGACTTTTTTTAGACACTGGAACAGGTTGCCCAAGGAGGCTGTGGATGCCCCATCCCTGCAGGCATTCAAGGCCAGGCTGGTGGGCAGCCTGGGCTGTTGGTTGGCGACCCTGCACACAGCAGGGGGTTGGAACCAGGTGATCATTGTGGTCATTTCCAACCCAGGCCATTCAATGATTCTGTGACTTTCCAAAGCTAGGAGGAAGGAATCCTCGTGGCTTCCCACTCCAGTCTCAGCAGCACTACGGTCGCTTTGCAGAGGCAGGGAGGTGAGCGGATCCATCCATGCGAGAAAACCCTCGTTAAGGCCCTCAGCATCCAGGGGAGGAAACCAAACCCACGAGAGCCAACCCACGGGGGCACACGGAGCTCCTGGCATCAGCGACGCACACCAGCAGCGAGCCGAGAGGAGCCAAGCGGCGCAAACCCTACCGAGGAGCCGGGAGGACGCAAGCAGCGCGAGCTGCCGGTGTAAGCGGGGATGCGGGCCGTGAGGAAGCAGCGTGGATCTGCCTTTTCCTGGAGCGCGCAGCCCCGGGCGATGCCCCGCACACGGAGGCGGCACCGGGAAGCGCCCGCACGGCTGCCGGGCAGCTCAGCGCAGGCGGGCCGGACCCAGCGCGCAGCCCGGCACCGAATCAAAGCGATCCTTACCGAATCTTCGCGGGGGTTCGGCCGCACCGAGCCCCACATGGAAGCGGCCCGGAGCCCCGCACCCCGCAGCGGGCCGGGTTCAGCTCGCGTCCCTCCGCCTCCCCCCCCAAAAAAATCCCCGTGCGGAGGTCCGGCCGTACCTGGCAGCCCATGTCGGCGGGGCCCATCGTCAGCTCCGCTCTTCAAGTTGCCGACGCACCGGGGCGAGGAGGCGCTGGGAGATCCGGGAGCTGCGGGGAGAAGCGGCCGCGCTCAGCGGAAAGCAGCCGGCGGCCCCGCACCGACCCCGCAGCCCGGGCCCGCCCCGCGCCGAGCCCCGAACCGCGGCTGCGGCCGGCCGGGGGACCCTCAGCCCCCGGGCCTCCTTCGCCCACCGCCTTCCATCCCCCGCCCCCCCCGCGGGTCCGGGATGCGCCGTGCCCGCGCCCCCCGGCGCTGCGACGGAGGCTCCGCCGTGGACCCC